CACATCAAAGGCACGCGCGAATTTGCCCGTATAAGTTCACGCCAGTAGTCCCGTGTTACCTTTTGGACAGTAAGCCAAAAATGCAACCAGACAAGGGGAGTTAGGGCACTGGGGCGTAGGATACAGGGACGCGCTGACATCCACAAACATTCATCGCGAAATACCTGACTGCTGCTGAAGTACCCCAATTTGCTCCACGCAAATACCTCCTTTCAATAAGACGCAGTTATCTACTAAATCAAGACGAAAAATGGACTCTTCGTCAATGCCTGTTGGCATACGCGTTTGGTTGTAGTGAAAGCTTTGAAAAGCAAACGCACAAGTAATTGGGATTTTTCAAGTTAGACCGACATCCAAAGTAAACAAAGCATTTTGTTGCGAATCCTCGTGACGAAACACAACAACAGCATAGGGCGATTACGGCAGGATTTTCTCACAAACCTTCAAATTCAGGCGACAAAAACTATATACACACATCGTGAGTTGGGCGAAAACAAATCAGCATTAAGTAGGTAAGGAAACGGAGGTTTTACTAACAACAAGAGGAGGCAGGGGGGTCGTTTTTGTGGCTCCTTCGAAGGGGAGGGGGAGCAGGGGGAAAGGAGGGATAGGAATGTCCCGTAATGCAGACGGATTTTCGTTCACTTCCAAGGGAAATAAGGGTAAAGGTCAGGATAAGTGTATGCTTAGGACACGGCGATATTTAGTCTTCCTGGAATTTGGCGTTATACTACCTGGAGGTGTCGTGAACTACCTCTGATTGTGTAACTGATAAGAAGCAGGCCTATGTGAAGGACTTACATTGTTATCAACAGTGAAACTTTCTTTACAAGATCTTACTACTTCATTGTATAAACTTAAAAACTCCGTTCAGCGTTCCGTTATCTGCAGTTAGCGGCAACCAGAATTACTCCCTGTAAGACCTGTATACGAGTGGTTTTTCCGATTGCAACCTCGAAGTGAATGCCAGAAATTATCATTTTCTTGGTTCCCTTTGTCTTCATCACTATGCTACCGTCAGTCTGATCTTACTACACCCCACCCTTACTTTGACAGACCTACTACCTTTTTACGTGGATAATGTGGAACATCCCGGCAGACTGTATGTGCTAGTCTCAAAGTGCGGTCCTCCTAAACTTTCCCAGCTTCGACAGATTTTTTAGTTTTCGGAGG